CTCAGCTCACTGCAAGCTCCGCCTCCCAGGTTCACACCATTCTCCTGCCTCAGCCTCCCAAGTAGCTGGGACTACAGGCGCCCGCCACTACGCCTGGCTAATTTTTTTGTATTTTTAGTAGAGACGGGTTTCACTGTGTTAGCCAGGATGGTCTCAATCTCCTGACCTTGTGATCCGCCTGCCTCGGCCTCCCAAAGTGCTGGGATTATAGGCGTGAGCCACCACGTCTAGTCTAATTTTTGTATTTTTTGTAGAGATGGGTTTTCACCATATTACCCAGACTGGCCTCGAACTTCTGGGCTCAAGCAATCTGCCTGCCTTGGACTCCCAGTGTTGGGATTACAGGTGTACACCACTGTGTCCGACCAACATCAGTTTTAAATAAACTGGATATATCACTTCTTCTATAGAAGATGGGAATATAAGGATGGCTTGTATATATAAGATACAATGGCTGGGCGTGGTGGCTCACGCCTGTAATCCCAGCACTTTGGGAGGCTGAGACGGCAGATCACGAGGTCAGGAGATCAAGACCACCCGGTGAAACCCCGTCTCCACTAAAAATACAAAAAAATTAGCCAGGCATGGTGGCGGACACCTGTAGTCCCAGCTACTCGGGAGGCTGAGGCAGAAGAATGATGTGAACCCAGAAGGCGGAGCTTGCAGGGAGCTGAGATTGTGCCACTGTACTCCAGCCTGGGTGACATTGCGAGACTCCGTCTCAAAAAAAAAAAAAAGATATAATCGGATTTTATAAACTGAACCTAGAAAACACTAAATCTTTGATGAATTAACAAATAAATGGGAAGGAGCAAGAAAGGAGTGCTCCTAGTAGACACAGATCCTGCCGTGCTAATTGCTATGAGAAAGCCACAATTTTCGGTAAACGCACTCTGCGTCCTAACTGTCCGAATGTTAACTGGACAGTGGACAGAGGGTCAGCCATATTCTCGGGGATGTGGCTTAAAGTCCTTCTTCTGGAGGGCTCATGAGGAAGTTACTTTTTCAAGACTTGCATATCCAATGGTGACTTTACTGACCTTTTAAAAATGGCTGATTCTCTAAGATTTCGGCATGCTAAAATCACTGCGGCCATGTCCCAAAGACTCCGCTTCTACCATCTGTCTGTCCACGTGTGTGGAACAGCTGACAGAGCCAGCCATTCTGAGATATTTCTGTTAGGCTGGGAGGAAGTGGTCAAGGCCGCCTGCTCTTCAGCACATGACTACGTGCTTTCTATGAAGATCCATAGAAACTGCTGACTCAAGAGACTATCCCGGGGTCTTAGCACCAGGAATAACTGTGTGAAGCAGTTGTCTGACCATCCAGTTTAAAAAAAAAAAAAAAAGCATTTAAACTTGTTTTTAAATTATATAGTAATACACCTACTTGGAAGAAGTCTGAAAGGTAGAAAACTTTAGCAGCACTGAAATGGTCTATTTCGGGCCACATGTGGCGGACTTGTGGGTGTTTGTTTTATTGTCATGGTTCCTAGCCTGCATATGCAGCACATATGTTGTTTTGGATACAGGAAATGTTACATAATAAAAGTTATGTAACTGCCCTCTCCTGCTTTATAAGCACTGGGAATCATATAACTGCTCATGTTTCCCTCTTTGCACAGACTGCTAGAAAGCTCAGAGCCTAATCTGCAGCCCACCTTTCCGGAGGAACAACTTGCAGCACGCATTTTTTGTACCAGTGTTAGCCCTTGCTTACTTTCATTTTTCCCACCCTTATTTTCCCTTAACCACAATTTCTTTACTTATTTTTATTTTCTACATTCTCGTTTCTCATATTTATGTTTTCTCATATTATAATAAACTTCTTCAAATCTACTTGAGAATTAGGTAGGGTATAAATTTTCTTTAAAATACTAAAAAAAAGGCTTCTGTTTATTAAGACTCTAGTATTATATTAACGTGCAAACCCTTATTTAAAAGCTGTGGCTCTGACCCACAGGGGTGCCTCAGGATCACACAGGAGCCTCATTCCAAATCTATACAGCCAGACTCCATCTCAAAAAAAAAAAAAAAAAAAAAAAAAAAAATCTATACAGCTGACTTCATAGGGCTTCACTAACCCAGCCTGCGAAGGCAGCAGCAGGTGGGTGTGAGCTCCTGGCCCGTGGGTTCCTGTACTTTGAAGAGACACTGGTGTCTCCCCTGGTTAAGAATGCCTGCCTCAAAACCATGGGCCTCCAGGTGTGCTAGCCTAAGGAGGACACACGATCACTGAGGTCACATTTGGCCTAGGTGATTCAGGGAACTTGACTCTAATTACAAGGACACATCAAACACAAAAGGAAAAAATGTTCTATTTTTTTTTTTTTTTTCTTTTGAGATGAAGCCTCATTCTTGTCCCCCATGCTGGAGTGCAATGGCACAATCTCGGCTCACTGCAACCTCTGCCTCCCAGGTTCAAGCGATTCTCCTGCCTCAGCCTCCCGAGTAGCTGGGACTACAGGCACCCGCCACCACGCTCAGCTAATTTTTGTATTTTTAGTAGAGATGGGACTTCACCATGTTGGCCAGGCTGGTCTTGAACTACTGACCTCAAGTGATCCACACCCCCTTGGCCTCCCAAAGTGCTGGAATTACAGGCGTGAGCCACCGCACCCAGTGAAATGTTCTATTTTTTTTTAAAGGGGGAAAATTATACTCTTCTAATATGTTAATGTTATGTAACTCAAAGAAAGGCTGAGGAAATGTTCGAGATTAGAAGAGGCTAGGAGCTGTGCCAACTCAATGTGACAATTGACCCTAGATGACCAGAGGACGGGAAACGCAATGAAGGACATTGTTGACTCAACTACCAAAATTGGAAAATGGACAACAGATAAGAAGGCTGTACCAATGTTAAATGTACTGAAGTTGGTAACTGCATAGTTATATGAGAGAATATTCCTAACCTTAAGAAATACACACTGAAGTATTTAGGAGTAAAGAGTCATAATATACACAATTTATCTTCAAATAGTTCAGAAAACAGATTGTGTGCCTATGTGTGCATATTCACGTATGTGTAGAGACACAACAAAGGAAGGGGCCAATGCTAACAGTTGGTGAATCTGGGTAAAGGGTATACCAGTGTCCTTTGTGCTACTTTTGTAATTTTGTAATTATTCCAAGTAAAAAGTTAGGGGGAAAAAAGTGCCCTTGCTTTAGACCACACAACTTCCACCACGGCAGTACTTTTAAAAAAGGAGAATAAAGTTTCCATCCATTCCTACTGATCCCCAACCCTGGGAGCCCCCACTGAGTGGCTGCAACTGGTAGCAGAACATGCCTCTCTCCTCACTCTCCCTAGGAGGCCAGCTTTCAGCTGTACCTTCTTCTAAAACAGATTTATTTTCCTTCTAGAAGTTTCTAGACTTCCAAAGGCAGCTTAAATGCAGTCTTTGGCATGTTATTTTCTCATGCTATTTTTAAAGTTACATTCTTTTTAAATTGGGGGAGATAGACCACAGGCACCCTGCCCTGAGCGCAGAGCCTCACCGTCCCAGGCCTCGTGAAGTCCACACTGTGCGCCAGGCTCTGCCGCATCTGGTTACTGAACAGGCGGACACAGACGCTCTGGAGGTACTCAGGGGTGATCTGCAAGGAGGACACAAAGACATCTGGTGACGGCATGAAATTCACCGAGGGACACCTGAGGCACGCTGGCAATTATTAGAGTGGTCTCTCAACAGCTTTCTGTAAGGCACGATGATGAGATATATAAGCTAGAAAAATAATCATTTGCTTTAACATCAGAGCTCTTGGGAGGAGAGAAAGCACCGGCCCTGACAGAACAAGGTGCTAACACACTGCAGATGTGCTCATGAGACATCAGACGCAAATTATCTAACTCCACTTCAGCTATCTCCACTGTCATATAGAATAAACAGATCCTAAACCATTTTGGTAAATTACAAATAAATAACAAAGTCACTGGACAACCATAATGTGGGGGAAAGAGAGCCAAGCTTCATATCTGAAGATCAGGGCTCAAGTCCTGGACTCGAGAAGACCAACAGCTCTGCCTCTCGCTTTCCACACCTTTATTGTAACAGTCGCAGTGAGCAGCTAAATGAGGTCACAGATATCCCTGGCACATGACAGGTGGCTCAGCCAGTGCTTGCTGAATGAGTGATGGAAACACTTTTAATCAACTATCCAGTGCTTGACCATGTGCGGCCAAGCTGCTGTTGCCATCAATGCTGCTGGATCCTGCATTCTCCTTTAGCATCTCTTGTGCCTCTCTCACCAGCTACGAGAATTCAGGATTGACCTACAACATCGAAAGTGGTCACCTTGGAATTTTTTTCATCTATTTTCTTTTCAGAAAAATAATGTATGCTCATTTCAACGTACAAGTACCACAACCTCTCCTGAATCCCACCCTTCCCCTACAAACCAATCCCTGCAGATAACGACTTCCACACTTTTTTCTAGGCATGATAATTGGAAAAGAGCCTCCTCTTCTGCATCTTCGTGATTCCACCAGGGGAAACTTCCACATGGCAGTAGAAGCGGCTGCTTTCCCACCTCTTGCTCATACCCTTGCATGGGAGGAAGGCCATCCCCCTGGCCTGCATGGGAAGCAGGGCTACTCCACCCCTGCGGAGCTGGAAAGGGCTGGGCCCTTTTCTCTCCTCCTGGGCCTCCTGCCTATCTGCTAGAAACTTCTGGTCTGCTTCAGCCACATAAAAGGCTCTGTCTAGCCAGGCACGGTGGCTCATGCCTGTAATCGCAGCACTTTGGGAGGCCGAGATGGGCAGATCACGAGATCAGGAGATTGAGACCATAGTGAAACCCCGTCTCTACTGAAAATACAAAAAATTAGCCAGGCGCGGTTGCGGGTGTCTGTAGTCCCAGTTACTCGGGAGGCTGAGATAGGAGAATGGCGTGAACCCGGGAGGCGGAGCTTGCAGTGAGCGGAGATCGTGCCACTGCACTCGAGACTGGGCGACAGAGTGAGACTCCGTCTCAAAAAAAAAAAATTTTTTTTATCAAGATGTACAGTATACACACAAGGATGTCCACTGCAACATTTTTTGTTATAGCAAACAAAAAAACAAAAAATCCAAATGTTCATCACCAGAGATCTGATAATGATTCACCCTTATAATGGAATTGTATAAAAGAATTAAAAAGAATGAGGTGGATCTGGTCATGTGGAAAGATCTCCAAGATGTATTGAAAGAGAAATAGCAAGTTTCAGAAGAGTAATGAATCATATGATCCCAACTAAGTGTACAAATGCTGTACATGTGTGTGTACACACACACACACACACATATGCAGAGAACTGTTCTAAAATAATATACAAGACAATGTCAATCTTGAACATCAATAAGGAAATGAATCTACAACATTGTGGTGAAGGAGCTTTTGTTCCTTACTATACGCTTCTCTGAATTGTTTCAATCTTTTACTATGAGAACACGGTTATCTTACATTAAAAAGGTTAGTAAAGACTCCAGCTTTCCTCCTCTGACCCATCTTTTTTTAAATTAAATTAAATTTATTTATTTGAGACATAGTTCCACTCTGTCGCCTAGGCTATAGTGCAATCTTGGCTCACTGCAACCTCTGCCAGCCGGGTTCAAGAGATCCTCCTGCCTCAGCCTCCTGAGTAGCTGGGATTACAGATGTGCTCCACTACACCTAGCAAATTTTTGTATTTTTAGTAGAGATGGTGTTTCGCCATGTTGGCCAGGGCTCTGGTCTTGAACTCCTGATCTCAGATGATCTGCCCGCCTTGGCCTCCCGAAGTGCTGAGATTACAGGTGTGAGACACCATGCCTGGCTAATTTTATTTTTAATTGTATATTTTTAGTGACAGAGGTCTCACCATGTTGACCAGAGTAGTCTCAAACTTCTGGCCTCAAGTGATCCTCCCACTTCAGCCTTCCAAAGTGCTGGGATTACAAGTGTGAGCCACTGTGCCTGGCCTGAATTATTTTTTATAACTGCAGTGTGAATCTACAGTTACTTCAATTTTTTAAATATCTGTATGTCCACAAATAGATTTTATCGTACTTTATAAAAAGACAGGAATGAGATAAAGATGCCCATGATGACGTTATTCAACAATATCCCACAGGCCATAGCCAATGTACTAAGAAAAGTCAAGATAAATTTTAAAAGCAAAACACAAATATTATTTGATAACATGACTGTCAATCTAGAATAGAGAAGAATCAATTAAAAAAACTCAAGATTAATGGAATTTAGAAAGGTAGCTGGATATGAAACCAATATTAGAAAATCAGTGGCTTTCCTATGTGACAGCAGGACATGTCCCCCTCATTTTTTTGCCAGCACATATTTTTCTGTCGCCAGACTTATCCTTTGCTAATATTAATAAGGTAGACCCTGGGTGCGATGGCTCACACCTGTAATCCCAGCACTTTGGGAGGCCAAGGTGGGAGGATCACTTGAGCCCACGTGTTCAAAATCAGCCTGGGCAACAAAGCAAGACCATGTCTCAATTTTTTGAAAAATATTTTCTCAAAAAAGGGCCAGACGCAGTGGCTCACACCTGTAATACCAGCACTTTGGGAGGCCAACGCTGGCAGGTTACCTGAGGTCAGGAGTTCGAGACCAGCCTGACCAACATGGAGAAACCCTGTCTCTACTAAAAATATAAAATTAGCTGGGTGTGGTGGCGCATGCCTGTAATCCCAGTTACTCGGGAGGCTGAGGCAGGAGAATCACTTGAATCTGGGAGGTGGAGGTTGCAGTGAGCTGAGATCACGCCACTGCACTCCAACCTGGGCAACAAGAGCAAAACTCCGTCTCAAAAAAAAAAAAAAAAAAAAAAAGAATAAGGTAGAGAAATAAAGATATAGCAGACAGTATGTTAAGAAAAATGGATAAAACACTGCAAGAAGCTTGATAAAAACAGTAAAAAATATCGGCCTTATCTGCTTCATGCATGTTGGCTTTTGGAAACAGAGTGGCAGGTGCCAATGGCTTGGAATGGAGAGAGGCAGACTCCATCTGCCATATCAACATAGTCCATGCCCATAAGCCTTCTTCATTGCCAAACAGACATACACACAATTGGGGCTCTTCCTTACCATCTTGCCGCTGACTGTGGCCTCTAGAGAATCCACCAGTTCCGCTGTGACTCCAATAAGATTGTGGTAGTCGGCCTGGATCTTATTGTACCGTTTGAGGTATGTCATTGACCTACGTTCAGCTTCAACCAGCTGCTGGTGGAGCTGCTGCAACATTTCTAGGAAGACAGTTTATATTAAAATAAAACAAACAACATCAATACAAATCTACAATATGAAAAATAATTGTATTCTTCTTAAAGAACTACCATACTTACTGTCAGACTGTTTTGTTGTAACAATAAACTTGACACCATTTGTGTTTCACACTTACTTCTATTTTATGCCACATTTATTTACATAGTGCTGTAACTAACTGACTTAAAATTTCCTTTTCAGGAAGTTCAACTCAATCCTCACTGGGTTTCCTAAGAAAATCTATTCCCTTGACTGAACCTCATGCAATTTCTTTTAGTTCTTCTATGTCTAAGAAAATAAACATTTCTAGGGCTGGTGGTGGCTCACGCCTGTAATCCCAACACTTTGGGAGGCCAAGGTGGGCAGATTCCTTGAGGCCAGGAGTTGGAAACCAGCCTGGGCAACATGGTGAATCCCCATCTCTACTAAAAAAATACAAAAATTTGCCAGGCATGGTAGTGCTCGCCTATAATCCCAACTACTTAGGAGGCTGAGGCATGAGAATCACTTGAACCTGGGAGACAGCAGTTACAGTGAGCCAAGATCCTGCCACTGCCCTCCAGCCTGGGCAACTGGGCAACAGAGCGAGACTTTGTCTCAAAAAAAAAGAAAAGAAATGTTTTATCCTATACTGAGCTCACAAAATGCCTAAATCAAACCTGTGTCTTTTTCTCTGTTTTTGTATTATAAAGTCGTCTGGGGGACAATTCATATCTGCAGGACACTTCTTTATTTTAAATAAAATTTTGGACTACTTGACTCATGCTAGGAAAAATAAGAATGCAGAAGAGATTCCATCATTCTGCCAGTTTGGTAAAGCATAAAACCACTCCCACCAGGCCTTAGAGCAGGTAGCTTGGAAGGCTCTAGGATTGTCAGCTCGAAAGCCCCCCGTGGGCAGCCCTAAAGACACTGAAGCCAAGCCGCCCTGGTCTCGGCAGAAACAGGCAAATCCCCATCGGTGTTAGCACTTCTTTGCCCATACCACCTGCCCTCTTTCTTGAAGGACATTTTAGACGAAAGGAGGTAGCACTGCCCCAAACCACAAGCCTGGCCAACATGGGGAAACCCGTCTCTACCAAACATACAAAAATTAGCAGGCATGGTGGTGCACTCTCTTAATCCCAGCTACTCGGGAGGCTGAGGCAGGACAATTGCTTGAACCCGGGAGGAGGAGGTTGCAGTGAGCCAAGATCATGCCACTGCACTCCAGGCTGGGCGACCAAGCCAGACTTCGTCTCAAAAAAAAAAAAAAAAAAAAAAAAAATTGTTTCAGATGGGGCATGGCGGCTTCATACTTATAATCCCAGCACTTTGGGAAGCCGAGGCGGGTGAATTGCTTGAAGCCAGGAGTTCGAGACCAGCCTGGCCAACATGGTGAAACCCCATTTCTACTAAAAGTACAAAAATTAGCTGGGCATGGTGGCACGCCCCTGTAATCCCAGCTACTCGGGTGACTGAGGCACTAGAATGGCATGAACCCAGGAGGCAGAGGTTGCAGTGAGCCAAGATCATGCCACTGCACTCCAGCCTGGGCAACAGAGCTGTCTCAAAGAAGTAAATAAATACAAATAAAGTTTTTCATATATATGTATAGTTCAAAATTAGATAAGCTAAAACTTTCAAAGATGAAAATTCTACAGAATAGTATTCATAATCCCATATTGCAGTAGTAAGTATTGGAGAACATCTATGCAAACTTTCTCAACACAGACCAAGCGGTACATGATGGATCGAGTACCAAAACCCATTACCTAGGCTCAATGATCTCCCAAACCACCAATGTGAATGTCCCCAAAGCAGTCCCTCTGGACTGCACAAAGGAACCCTTTCCCCCAGAAGTTCATTCTGCAATTTACTAAACATAGAGAGATTATCTGTGGAACTTTTGCCTTGGGAACCGAGAATCAGAATTTACGACAATTTCAAAGTGTGGCACATCTCAGGGATGAAAGGCCAAACTGCCTGCAGCCTACTGGAAACAGAGAAGCAGGTAATAGGGCTGAAATGTTTGTGACCATTTTCAAATACAGTCAGCACTCCATATCCATGGGTACTGCATCTGTGGATTCAACCACCTCAGGTCGAAAATATTCGGGAAAAAAGCACCTGTACTGAACACATACAGACTTTTTTTTCATATCATTTTCATGTCATAAACAAAACGGTATAACAACAATATACACAGCATTTACACTGCATTAGGTATAGGTAATCCAGAGATGATTTAAGGTATATGGGAGGACGTGTGTAGGTTGTATGCAAATACTATGCCATTTTATATAAAGGACTTGAGCATCTGTGGACTTTGGTTATCTGTGGGGGTCCTGGAAGCAATCCCTATAGAAACTGAGGGACAACTGTATACTCTTTAGGAGGACAGCCTGCTACCCAGAGACATCACCTCGCAGATACTTTAACTAGCTACAAACAAGACCTGTCCATGACTATAAGCAACTTGGGTGACAGCTCAAACACATCAGCTTTATTTCAGAGCATTAAACAGGACTTTCTATTTTCCCTGTCAAAAGTTTTATGAGACAAGAACAGCTAAGCCAAGATGTCTTGCCATGCAAGACCTCAACTTCTTCTTTTTTTTTTTTTTTTTTTTTGAGATGGAGTCTGGCTTTGTCACCATGCCAGACTTTGGTGCAATCATAGCTCGCTGCAACTCCTGGGCTCAAACCATTCTCCCATCTCAGCCTCCTGAGTAGCTGGGACTTCAGATGGGCATCGTCGCACTTGGTTAATTTTTTTTTAGTTTTTGTAGCAATAGGGTCTCACCATGTTGGCCAGGCTGGTCACAAACTCCTGGCCTCAAGCTATCCTCCCACCTCAGCCTCCCATAGTGCTGGGATTACGGGCATGAGCCACCATGCCTAGTGGCAAGACCTCAACTTTTAATGGAGATGTCTTATTATAACCTTCATGTTATTTTAATAAAACCATGTTAGTCATGCCAGTGAAATTTACTGAAACTCTTCATATCCCAAACTACTGACATAACAGTGATGTAAATATCTCCCCTGTCACTGAGGCTTTCTTTTTTAACCTTTCTACTTCACTAAGGGCACTGCATTTTTTTTTTTAAGGGTAAATGAGATTTTAATTGGCTGCTCAAGACAAAATGATCAACTTTTAAATATTGAATTGTTTTTTTCACCCACTGTGAAAAGCTAAAATTAACCCCTCTGTCTTTATAATGATATACTCTTTCCTGTTTTTATTCAGATAAAAATTATCTCTTTGCTACTTTGCTAATCCACAGATACTGGATGAAGAAAGTTACAATATAACTTATGAATATGAGTCATTATTTTTTAAAATACTGTTTAGGGCTCCAAACTCCAGAAAAATGATCAACTGCTCATTTTCTGAAAGGGCTGAATCAATTCATGCTAGAAATGCCAAAAGATACTATTTCTGTATCCTTTTTAAGTGACTAGGTAAAAATAATAATCCGATGTTACTATATAGTCAACCTGTTTTTATTCCATACAACATTTCAAACGTAATTCCTTTTGAGAGAAGTTTCTGCTGCAAGTACCTTTCTTTCCTTCTTTAAAAGCTTATGGCAATCTCACTTTAGGCATGAAAACTTCCTATCAAGATACACAGAACAATGATATCACGTAACCACTTCATTTAAAACAATGCCTGAGTCTAGAATTAAATTAAACTGGGGGCATGTCTGTGCCTTTGGTTACTGCAGCCTTAGCTGCAGGATGAAGAGACAAGGGGGTGACAAGTGACTCTCATGCCTGGGCCCCAAATACGAATCTCCAATCTCCATAGCAACACCACATTACAGAGTTCACTCCGCCACAGACGCACTTTGCTTGTGAGACTCAAATCCACAGTCATTCTGCTTGGCTTCCAGAAAACTCAGTTAAAATCAACCCTAAAGAAGGCTTAAAAACTGGTCTCCTTACTGAAATTCCAACATTAAAAACCTGTAGAGAAACACAGCTCTTTTATTTGCATTCCCCTTCCCATGTTTATTTGATCTGCAAAACTGGGCCACTTATCAGATGGACATAATGCTCCCAGAAAAAAGCTATGCTCAAAAATGCAGTGTATGCTAGCGGCACACGAGCGGCAGAAACTCAGGAACCAGGGAGAGTCTCTCACCACCTTCCCGCCCCCCCCGCCTGGGAGTCCAAAGGCTAGTTCAGAACAGCGACCTGGCAGATTCAACTAACAACTAAGTCAGTTCTCTAGGGTCCAGGGATGCAGAGTGTGGTGGCGGTTTTAAAATGCCTGCAGTCTTTGACACAACTTCCTTCTCATCAAGAAGAGGAATGTAATCTTTCTCTGAAGGTGAGGAGCCCTAAGTAATTCACTTGCATGAAACAGAATGCAGTAGAAATGACTGACTTCCTTCAGAGGCTGGGTTAGAAAAAGTGATACAGCTTCCTCCTGGCTCTCTCTGGGGACATTCATCCTTGGAACCCAGGCAACATGCCTGGAGGAAGCCCAGGCCACAAGGAAAGGCCACAGAGGTGTTCTCGTCAAGGGCCCCTGCTGAGACCCCAGGTGACAGCCAGCACCGACCACCACTCTGCGTGTGAGTGCCTGGAGTTGGCCCCACCCCGCTCCACCTGACAGCACAGGAGAGACATGCTGAGGGAGAACAGCTTCACTGAGCCCACAGCTCCCAGACCATGCAGGCTCATCACCACCATCATAAGTGAATGTCGTCGTTTTGTGCCACCAAGTCGGGATGGTCAGGCAGTAATGGAACAGTAGGCTGAGGTGCATTTCCAGGAGCTGCAGGGCGAGATCCAAATTCCCAGCCCAGTTGAAGATACTAGCTGTGTTGGATGTGAGCAAACTGGCCCGCGATGCACCCTGGCCAAGGCCTGGGCCCAGGTTAGAACTGAGAGAGCGGCCTGCAGGGCTGAGGATGCAGACTGGGACTCTTCCTCCACATACTGTGCTGGGGACAGGGCAACCTTGGGGAGCTCCAAGACTCAGGGTGCTCCTGTGACCCTTGGAGCAGTCTAGGTTGATACCGTAGGGCCACATCTGTAGCCCTGCTCCTCCATGAAGGGTCAGCAGGGCCTGTCCCCTCTGAGGGACAGAAGGGTCAGCATGGCTGACAGAACCAGTAGCACACTTAGAATGGTTGAGCTGGGGACGCCTGAGGCTACCAAGAGCGAAACCAAGCATCCAAAGCCTTCTCAAAGGCTGATGCTGCCAAAGCCATCTTGAGTGACAAACCCAAACCCAAGCTCTCCCTGAGGTTGACAAACTCCACTGCTCAACTGCCAACTCCCTGGTGAGCAAAGAGCTAAATAATTTACTAATTAATGCTTCCTTTCTTTAAAAGAGTTTCATTCCCTAAAAAGAAACAGGAAAAAGCAATGGCAGGAAGTTCTGAAATCCTCTCTGACATGACTCTGCTTTGAAAGGGCAAATGTGCTGGTGCATGGAACAAGATCTCCTGTAGTCACACTCCACCTGCTGGGAACTGAGGGTTATGCCATCAACATTCACCAGAAGGATGACACGCCATCACAGGCCCTTCCCAGCATCATCATTTAAGCAGCTTTCAAAATGTAGTATCAAAGGCAAAACTGAGGCACAGTGCCCCAGCTGTGGCCACCAACTTCGTATTAACTATACTTTTTCTCACCTTACTCAAAAGTGAATAGTTCTGGTAAAAATGATTGACCATGGAAAAATAACACTTTATGCTACAAACTGAAGGCTGGAATTCCTACTTTGGAATGGAAAATGCTTGATAAGAATGGGTACTCCATATGTCTTCAAAGACCCCAGTTGACTAGTTCAAGGTAAAAGTTAAACATATTAAAATAATTAACATAAATTAAATTAAAAGAATTCTCTCCTTATCCATGCCGCCCTATGCCTTCTAGGGAAAATGTGTTGCTGTTGCAGTTACTTCCCTTTGAGACATTATTGGATTCTCTTCATTTCCCCGAGGCTTAGCTATCTGATATATAAGGCGAAGATAACAATACTGGCCCTCCTGAAAATGGGCCTCAAGGAACTGCAGATCAATATGACTGCAAAGCCTTTCATAAATATTTTAAACTCTTAAAGCCAAAATCATGAATTCTCTCCATCTTTGCACCGATTTTACTACTTAAAACCTGAACTGGTAAAGTTGTTTTTAGACAAATTTAAATCTAGATGATTTACCTTTGTTACTTTGTCCATTCTCCTTCTGGGATGAAAAAGAAGTTCAGGAAAACAGGCATTCAGGGAACAGTACTTGGGGTATCGGACATCCTGTGGCAATGTGAGAAAGCACCTCAGCATGGTGAAACAGAGTTCTCGGGCCGGGAGGGCCAGCTCCACCTGTTGCTATAAATAGCTAAGCAACCTCTCCATACTCACCGGACTCACTCCCAAACAAGTCCTCTTCTCCCCATCTCAATTATCACTGTCTGAATTCAAGTCTTGCACTATTTCAAAAGCCTCCTATCCCCTTCCTATCCCCTTCCAAAGGCCTTCCCCACTGCTACCAAGCCATTCTACTAAAAATGGAAATCTGATTTTATACATACTTCAACTCTAACTTCAGTTGAAAGCTTGATCCTAAGGAAACTGATATTGAGGTGAAAACAGCATAGCACAGTGTTGCTAAGACCACGGACACTGGAGCCAGACTGCCTGGGTTCAAATCTCAGCTCCCACATGTCTGGCTGCATGACTGAAGGCAGTTACTTAACATGTTTCTTTTCCCTTAATTTGTCTTAAACTTTTCCTCAATTTTTTGGTAACAGCTTTATTCACATACTGTACAATTCACCTATTTAAAGTGTACCTTTCAGGCCAGGCGTGGTGGCTCACGCCTGTAATCCCAGCACTTTGGGAGGCCGAGGCGGGTGGATTACCAGGTCAGGAGATTGAGACCATCCTGGCTAACATGGTGAAACCCCGTCTCTACAAAAATACAAAAAATTAGCCAGGCACAGTGGCTCACGCCTGTAATCCCAACACTTTGGGAGGCTGAGGCTGATGGATCACAAGGTCAGGAGACTGAGACCATCCTGGCTAACATGCTGAAAACCCATCTGCACTGGGAAAAAAAAAAAAAAAAAAATTAGCCAGGCGTGGTGGCAGGAGCCTGTCGTCCCAGCTACTCAGGAGGCTGAGGCAGGAGAATGGCGTGAACCCGGGAGGCGAAGCTTGCAATGAGTGGATATCGTGCCATTGCACTACAGCCTGGGCTACAGAGTGAGACTCCGTCTCAAAAAAAGAAAAAATGCAAAAATTAGCCAGGTGTGGTGGCAGGTGCCTGTAATCCCAGTTACTTAGGAGGCTGAGGCAGGAGAATCACTTGAACCCAGGAGGTGGAGTTTGCAGTGAGCCGAGATCGTGCCATTTCACTCCAGCCTGGGGGACAAGAGCAAAACTCTGACTCAATAAATAAACAAATAAATAAATAAATAAAGTGTACATTTCAGTGGTTTTCAGTGTTTTCAGAGTTGTGCAACCATCACTACAATCAATTTTGGAACATTTTCATCATCCTCCAAAAGAAACCCTGTACTCACTGGCAGTTACTCCCATTTTCCCTGCTCTCCCCAGCCCCTGGCAACCACTGATTTACTTTCTGTCTTTCCAGATTTGCCTCTTTTGGACATGTTATGAATAGAGTCATATAATACCTGGTCCCTGCCACTGGCTTCTTTCAGTGAGCATAACACTTTCAAGGATCATTCATGTTACAGCATGAATCAGTGCTTCATTCCTTTTTACAGCTGGATAATATCAAATGATATTCCATCATTTGGATAACACCACAGTTTGTTTATCCATTCATAAGACGATAGACATTTGGGTTGTTTGCATTTTTTGGTTATTATGAATAATGTTACTATGAACATTTGTGTACACATTGTTGTGTGGACATATGTATGTTTTCATTTCTCTTGGGTATATAGCTAGGACTCCAATTCCTGGGTCATGTGGTAACTCTGTTTAAACCTCTAAGGGAACTCAACCTGCTTTTGAAGGCTATTTAGTGATATGGGACGATGTTCTCTTCCTTTGATAAAAATACATAGAAATATACGCACACATACATTTACCTACATTTATTACAATTTTGGGGTATGTCTGTATCAAATACATTTCTGTACTTTCCAAATTTTGTATAAGTAATACAGTTGATTTTATAATCAGGAAGTAAAAAGTGATTTTTTGCAACACAACTATTCTCCTGCTTAAAATGCTTCAAAGGCTCCTTATTCCTTATAGGACTTTGCATAAACCTTTATGACCTAGGCCTTGCCTAGTCTCTGAGTTTGCCTACGTCAATACTCTGCTCCAGCAATATTAAATTATTTTAGTTTCCCAGGCACAGTCTCAGTGCCTTTGCACAGGCTGTTTCCTCTACCTGTAATTCCCATCCCTCCTGTGTTTGCCTCACAGACTCCCATTTTATTGTCCAAAGCTCCAATTTGGCTAAGAGAATTACACCTTGGCCTTTTCTTTATATCCCTAAATCCTAGAGCAATATTTGACTCATAGCAGAAGCTTAATGTATTGAACTGAACTGCAAATATTTTCATGTAACAAGGAAAATATTAGAATGCTATTTATAGTGACCTGCTATATTTCAGCATATGCTTCAAAGCATGTAGAACAGGATGAAAGGTGACAAGTACTTAAAAACTCTAATGCCAATAGCTAACAGTTATCAAGCACTTACTATATACTGGACTGTTTCATACAAGTTATATATATTAACTCAATCTTCATAATCTTCCTATAAAATAGGTACTATGATTTTTTTTTATTCTTATTTTTTTGAGACAGGGTGTCACTATGTTGCCCAGGCTGAAGTTCAATGGCACGATCACAGCTCAATGCAGCCTCAACTTCCCAGGCTCAGGTGATTTGCCCACTTCAGTCTCCCCCAAATAGCTGGGACCACAGTCATGTGGACGCTACCAGGCTCAGCTAACTTTTTGTACTTTTTGCAGAGATGGGATTTCGCCATGCTGCCCACACTGAGCTCAAACTCCTGGGCTCAAGTGATCCTCCCGCCTTAGCCTCCCAAAGTGCTGGGATTGTAGGCGTGAGTCACAGGGCCCAGTAAGCTACTGTTTTGAATATACTAATATATTATTAATATAACTAATATGATTTACCATGTAAATCATTTTGATTAGATTCTTAACATATTGGCACCCATAATTATTAAGCTGAGCTACTCTGGGCACACTGCCTATGGGGTAGCCCTGTTCCAAGAGGAGCAGTATCAAAAAAAAAAAAATTAAGCTGAGAAACACTTTTTAAAAGCATGTTCAAATAATTATAAGTCAAATTGAAAAAGTTCTAGTTTCATTGAAAACCACTGTATATGAAACTCTAGGAAGAAAAAGGATTGGATATGCCAACATCATGGTATGTAGGTAAAGAGAAGAATTTAAACAAAAGCCTTAAGGATACAAAGGCAGAGAGGAGAGCTGTAGATCAGTCTGTTTGGCTCAGGCCAGGCTAAGGAATCTGAAGACGGGCAACAGGGAAGGCTTAGGAAGCTCAAGAAGAAAAGCAGCATAGAATCCTAGCGACAAAAAAACCTCAATTAGGTCAAGAAAGTCAAACGCTTTGGAGTTAGAAACGAAGCAGAAGGTATTATGTGGCAAAGTAGCCTATATTTTTCATGAAATAAAACAAAACAATCACCAATTTTATGATTCAAAACATTATATTCTTGTTATGAAATAACTTTGGATACATTTTTCTTCCGAATAAAAGGAGACACTTGTCTTTAGAGACTAATAACCTTTGGGAAACTAGTCTTCCATGGGTTGGGTGACCTCACGTTCTGCTCTTCCTGAAACGGGCTCTATTTACACCTGTCCCTGGCACTTTGTCCAGTGAGTGCCCCATTTTACTCTCAAAAGTGTCCCAGTTTGAACTGGACTGTGGTGATACTGCACAGCTCTGTACATTTGCCAAAAAGCATTAAATTGTACACCTACCATGGGTAGATTTTACACCTCAATAAAGTTATTTAAAAAGAAATCCCAATTTGAATGACAAGTTAGATTGTTACCTGATCCATATGCCATGGCCTGAAGGCCTTAAAAGTGGTTAAGTGATATTTTGCAAATGGACAATTATCCCAAGGAGTTCTTTTACAAGAAGACAAACTTTCTTTCCTACCAAGACAGCTTCTAGCCACATGACATCAAAATAAGACCTCGCCAAAAAGAAAGTCTCAGAGACCTAATGATAGAGAAGTTGATCTCTATAGGCCCTGCCACTAATGATTCTTTGATCTTGTAAATATGAAAGCAACACTATTAATTATCCCTATTTAATGAGGCAACCTAAGCCAGTGTGCTACTCTAAATAAAATCTGCTCTAAAACCATAGGTGGTCTCTATTTGCTTCAAAAGGATACATATATTGTTAAAAGCTTTGGCGTGTTGCTGGCTTTAAATATTAAAGCTAGAAACTTTTCCAACTTCAACTTTAACTCTGGAGTCCAGGAATCCTAAAGAGAAAAACAAGGGAACAAAAACACAAACATTAGATTACTAAGTACCAACAGTATCATCAAGTTGAGGTCATTAGGCCAAAAAACCCTGCACAGTGATTGAAACCAAAAGCAAAATGTCTTGCCAGTGATGTGAGGCTGTGAAAAACAGGTTTAGGACATCTGACCATCTCATTTATAGAAGATTCAAGTGTCCACAGTAGGAAGAAAAAATAGAGTTCTTTCATAAACAGGGAAAAAATAACCCTGAACATGATTTGAATATTTCACGTGATTTAAACACAATCGTGACAAGGAACCTTATTAGGCTGCATACCAAAAATAGTTCAGTACAGTCTAGGCACGCACAGCACCGGGAGGCATAACATAAACAATTCTCACTAAGTTACTGAGACTTTCCCCAAGAAAGGGACTCATTTCCACAAGCCTCATCTAGATAAGAAAAAAGGACAGAAGCTATTTTCTGCCACAAATACCCCATCATGTCAAGAATTATGATATAGTCTTAACATGATTTATCCTTTAAAAATAAATTATTTATCTCAAATAATGCTTATTAAGAAGAAAAAATCAATGACTTAAATAAGAAAAAAACATAACAAGTAACTATCTTTGTCTCAGGACAATTTTCCTTATACTCTTTATACAGAAATATCTTCTACCCAAACCAAGAAGTTCCACAAAAAAAGCAGCTAAGCCACTAAAAATGCATACCCACCATCCTTTTGGATGCTGCCCCATGGCCCTTGGACCTTTCCATCCTTCTCTACTGTCTGCCTCTCCAGCTCTGTAACCTCCTCCACGCCTCCCACCCCCACCCAATCATTCTAGCCAGTATGTCATCTGATTTCTGGAAAAAATACTGCCAGATGAGCAGAAAGTTCTTTTTTTTTTTTGAGACAGAGTCTTGCTATTTCACCCACGCTGGAGTGCAGTGGCTCAAGTTTCAAGCGACTCTCCTGCCTCAGCCTCCTGAGTAGCTGGGATTACAGGCGAGCGTCACCAAGCCTGGCTAATTTTTGTATTTTTTTTTTTTGGTAGAGACGGGGTTTCACCATGTTGGCCAGGCTGGTCTCGAACTCCTGACCTCAAGTTATCCACCTGCCTTAGGCTTCCAAAGTGCTGGGATTACAGGCAAGAGCCACCATGCCCAATCACAGAGTTCTTATATTTTTAAAAAATTGTGTAATTCCCTTATACTGCATGATAACTTTGTTTATAACATGTGTGTCATTATGGATTGAACTGTGTTCCCTCAAAATACATGCTGAAATCCTAACCCCTGGTACCTCAGAACATGAGGTCGTTGGGAATGGGGTCATTGCCGATGTAATTAAAGTTAAGATAAAGGTCACACTGGAGTAGGGTGGGTCCTTAATCCAATATGACTGGTGTCCTACAAGAAGAAGAAAATTTAGACACAGAAGGAAGACCGCCACAAGATGATGGAGACAGAGACTGGAATGATGCTGCCACAGTCACAGAACACCTGGGGCTACCAGAAGCTGGGAGGGGAAAGGAGGGATCCTCCCCTAGGATTCAGGGACAGCATAGCCCGGCCAACACCTTGATTTCAGATTTGTAGCCTCCAGAACTGTAAGACAATGAATGTCTGCTGTCTCAAGGCATCTGGCCTGTGGTACTTTGTTAGGGCAACCCTAGGGAAATCACCCGAGTGCTACAACTCAAGGTAGTCTATGCTCAACCACACAGAATCTCAGGAAAGGACTGCTACATCTCAAAAAACAAAACGAAATGCTTGGGACATGCAGACTTCCAGTTAGATTGCTCTGTTGTTGACTAGTATTTTGTATAACCAACAAATATGTGTTTTCAATGTAATTACTTACTTTATGATGCTCTGGTAATGACAGGGATGAGACTGAAATAAAGCCTCTCTGGACATGAGTCACTTACATTTTTTCGACCATTCTTACTTTTTCTGTGCTTTCAACTCTGAGAAGAAGAACATTTCCGAGCTGGGCGTGGTGGCTCAGTTTGTTAAATGAAGAGATGGTCAGAGATAGGAGGAAAATTAGAAGGAAAATTAGAGCAAGGAAGCCAAGGAGTTTTTTTTGAGACGGAGTCTAGCTCTGTCACCCAGGCTGGAGCGCAGTGGCACAATCTTGGCTCACCCCAACCTCTGCCTCCCGAGTTCAAGAGATTCTCCTGCCTCAGCCTCCGGCGTAGCTGGGATAACAGGCATTAGCCACCATGCCTGGCTAATTTTTGTATTTTTAGTAGAGACGGGGTTTCACCATGTTGGCCAGGCTAGTCTGAAACTCCTGACCTCAGGTGATCCGCCCACCTTGGCCTCCCAAAGTGCTAGGATTAGAGGCGTGAGCCACCACACCTGGCCTAAATTTTTAATATGTTAAAGAAATAAAAGAGAGGAAGGAATGAGAGACTATAAAAATGTCCCAGCAAATTTGAATAAACAACAACAACAAAAAACTTCTAATAAAGAGTTAACTGAAATTACAAATTCAATGAAAAGGTTAAAGAACGGACTAAACATAGCTGGAGGGTGAGTTTGTGAACTGGAAGACAGATGTGAAGAGATCACCCAGAATATAGCCAGAGAGATTAAGAGAAGGAAAACATAAGATATTAAAATGTATGGCGAGCACAATGATGTGCACGTTCTTAGCACCACTCAGCTGAACCCTCGAAAGTGGTCAAAATGGTGGCAGTGCATGCCTATAGTCTAGCTACTCGGGAGGTTGAAGTGGGAGGATCACTTGAGCCAAGGAGGTCAAGGCTGTAGCGAGCTATAATCATGCACTTCAGCCTGAGGGATAGAGTTTTAAGAGACTCCATCTCTTTTAAAAAAAAAAAAAAAAAGTCAAAATGGTAAATTTTATGTTATGTGTATTTTATAATTTTTTAAATAAAAAAGACACGGAGAATATAATAAGTCTCATATACATTTAGTCAGATATCTAGGAGATAATAAAGAGAATGGTAATATACAGAGATACAAATTGAGCATTTTTCAGAGTTGTTGAAAGACACAAAACTTCGCATCCAGGAAACCCAACAAATCCCAAGTAAAAATAGAAATCTATCCCTAGAAACACTGTAGGGAAATGATACAATCCCAGAGGCCAGAGAAAAGAGATGGATCACCTACAAAGGAACAGCAATTAGACTGACAGCCAACTTCAAAATAGCAGCAATGCGAGCTAGGAGATGGTGCAATCTAGCTAAGCTTTGTATCGTCAATGTACTAAGAGAAAATAACTGTAAACCTAGTATTCTAAATCCTACCTGAGAAAGCAATAAAGACACTGCAGTCAAACAAGAACTGAAAGAAATCTTCAAGGAAAGGGGGTTTTAAAGACATGTACTTAAATAAGAGGAGACAACTATCCCAGATGGAAGGTCATTGACACAAGATGGAATGATGAACAAAAATACTAGTAGTTATAAGGGAAAATCTACACACACTGATTGCATAAAATAGTAAAACTTCCTAATTTGTACATTTAAAATATATAACTAAGATACTTGGCAGAAAAAAAAAAAAAGCACATAAATTACAAAGGGGATGAATGAAGCTAATGCATTCTGAGTTCCCCGAATGTTCTGGAAGAAAATAAAGATTAAATTTAGACTTTATGGCTGGGCGTGGTGGCTTATACATGTAATCCTAGCACTTTAAGAGGCTGAGGCAGGCGGATCATCTGAGGTCAGGAGTTCGAGACCAGCCTGGTCAACATGGTGAAACCCCGTCTCTACTAAAAATACAAAAATTAGCCAGGCATGATGGCACGTGCCTATAATCCCAGCTACTCAGGAGCCTGAGGCAGGAGAATCGCTTGAACCCAGGAGGTGGAGGTTGCAGTGAGCCAAGATCGAGCCATTACACTCTAGCTCAGGCGACAAGAGTGAAACTCCATCTCAAAAAAAAAAAAAAAATTTGACTTTATCATGTATACATACTAAAAATATCTATGTTACCATTAAAAGAACATAAGTAGACTAACAAAAGAAAAAAATGGAATAAAATCAATCTCCACAAATACAGATGGTCATTAAATTCCTTAAACCACCAGAAGCTGAACTCCATCTTGGAACACCAAACCTGAGTGAGTCAAGCTGCCAGCTGCAGCCTCTGCTAGGCCCCATCCCTGATTCTGCCAGCTCTGCTGCCACCTGGATCCAAGCTTTATCCATGCTGCTATGCCAGAATAGTCATGAACAGAATACTCAGGAACGGAAGTCTCACTGTGAGAAAATCTACCGTTCCCTTCCAAGACTATTTATTTTTAGAAATTTTTAAATGTAATTTTTAATTTTTTAAAATTTATTTTTATTATTTTCTTTGTTTTAATCCTCCAAGACATCTGAACCCTTCCAAATTTAACCACCTTCTTAATGTTTATTTCTTCAACTTTCTGGGAGAGGAAGTAGGTAAATCTAGAATGATCAAGAAAAAACAGCAAAAATTTCAACTTGGGCTACTCTACAAAAGGCCTGCTTTAATGAAAGCAGTCAACTAAGTAGCCTTCAGTTTAGCAGTTACTATTCAGGAGGGATGAAAGTTGTTTTACAGAATTATAACTGAACGGGATGCTGAAATGTACTGGGATTTGGAAGAATTGCATCAGTTGCTGTTGAGTGACAGAGTGACCTGGGTGACAGAATGAGACTCTGTCTCCAAAACACAAACAAACAAGGCCAGGCGCAGTGGCTCACGCCTGTAATCCTAGCACTTTGGGAGGCCAAGGCAAGTGGATCACCTGAGGTCAGGAGTTCAAGACCATCCTGGCCAACATGGTGAAACCCCATCTCTACTAAAAATACAACAATTAGCCAGCCGTGGTGGTGCGCACCTGTAGCCCCAGCTACTCAGGAGGCTGAGGCAAGAGAATCGCTTGAACCCGGGAGACAGAGGTTGCAGTGAGCCGAGATTGCGACACTATACTCCAGCCTGGGCGACAGAGCGAGACTATCTAAAAAAAAAAACCAATTAAACAAACAAAACATACTCGTGTTAAAATTCATGGAACTATACATCCTAAAAAGTCAATTCTATGTGTGAGAATGTAAAAAGTTTAAAGTTGTCATTCGAGCAGGTGAGAATCCTTGCTTGCTGTAATTTTTTTTTTCGAGACAAGGTCTTGCTCTATTGCCCAGGATGGAGTGCAGTGGCACTCTTGGTTCACTGCAACCTTCACCTCCCGGGTTTGAACAATTCTTCTGCCTCAGCCTCCTGAGTAGCTGGAATTACAGGTACATGCCACCACACCCAGTTAATTTTTGTACTTTTAGTAGAGATGGGGTCTCCCCATGTTGGCCAGACTGGTCTTGAACTCCTGGCCTCCAGTGATCCACCCACCTCGGCCTCCCAAAGTGCTGGGATTACAGGTGTGAGCCACCACGCCCGGCCAACTTTCTGTAACATTTTAACACTGGTACACATATGTCTAAAAACTACTTTTGTTTGCTTTGATGTATATGTAAAGGGAATCACATAGCTTGTCCTCTCTTGTATCCAGCTTAAGATTTCATCATTGTGTGATTTAGTTCATTCATTCTCATTGATGTATAATATTCCATTGTGTGAATATAACACAATGTATTTATGCATGCTCCTGTTGGTGTACAATTGGGTTGTTCCTAGTTTTTGCTATTACAAAGTGTTAATTACTGTAACTCTTCCAGATTTAATGTATGTACAAGTCGCAAACCACTGCTAGTACAGGATGGCAAAAACCAAACCTAACTAACCATCTAATAGAAGACTGACTAAAAAATTATGGCTATAACTAAAAATAATAACAGAAGCAAATTTTAGTTTTTTAAAGCATCATTCAGAAACCCCCAGCTTATAGAAGATAAAACCACAATGTCACCCAGGACCTGACACAAGAGTTAAAAGCTGGCACTTACCTGGAAGAGTTCTTTAAATGACGGGTGCACCATAGGGTTGGGAACAAAAGGAAGGGCATAGAAAGGAAGAAACTCTGTGGTCTGGCTCAAGGCTGCCCCTTTGGTCTCCAGGTAGGTTTTGAAGTAAGAAATCTTTTCATCCAGCTCCTCTTTGTCCTGGAGGAAGGGAAAGCACTTGTTTGAGGTCTCCAGCTCAATGCCCAGGCCATCTGCTCACCCCATCCTCTCTCTGAGGCTCCTTCTGTCCCAGTCATGTCGCTGGCATCCCCTATCTAGCCTGGCAGGTGTGTTGTCTCTAGAATTCTACCATCCACCCTAAATTTCCCCCTTAATGAAACTTAGGAAGATCAGAGAACTGTATATACAGTTCAATATGCTGTTTTTTAACTTTATTATTGCCATTTTCTCACATCCTTAAAACTCTTCATAAACATTTTCAATGGCAGGACAAAACCTCATCTTGTCTATCACATTTATTTAACTAGTTTCCTCATTATTAGACAGACACATGGCTTCTACTTTTCAGATATAAATAAGTATCTGTCTGCATTCCCATGCCTCCAGCAGGAGCGGTTTCTAAAGGTTAACAGGCATTTCTTTATGGTGTTTGGAAACAGAAGCTTCCATCTCGCTCCTTTCCTTTCTTGTGCTAAGGCCTGGGCTCGCTCGGTGTCACTATTCCATGTGTATCCCAGGCAAGTTAGTTCCCCTCTCAGGGTTCTACCTCCTCTTGGCCCTCAATGAGAAAACCAGAGTTGGTGAATGTGGGGCTTTGCTCCCACACTGGCTCTACCAGTCATGGCCTTCACAGTCTCATACACAGACTAACCTGTTCCAGAGTTGGTGAATGTGGGGCTTCGCTCCCACCCAGCTCTACCAATCATGGCCTTCACAGTCTCGTACACAGACTAACCTGTTCTTACAAACACATCTCAGTTGACCTATACCAGGAGGCCCTCTTTTGACCCCCAGACGTAAAAGAAACAGAAATACAAACAGAAAATGAAAATCTCCTGTGATCTTCCCTGGAAGAGTAATAACCTGAGGAACAGCCTTCCAACAACTACTACAATGTACGGTCCCGCTGCTCCCTCCACCGTCCCCACCTTTGGTGTTCTGACATTCTCATGCGCTCACATTGGTCCACAGGGCAGTAATTAATGCACGGGGTCAAATGCCAGCTCGCCTCTGTTGCCCTTCTGTCATCAAAGCTCAGCCACCCCAGCAGCTTGACACTTCAGCCCTCTCCTCTCTTCCCATCTCCAGCCCCATCTGGGAAAGGACTGCAGACGCTAAATTCAACCTATCACTCAAAAGGACTTTCCACAAAGAGACGTACCCTTTTCCACGACTTAAGTTTAAATGTGTGTTCTGGCCAGACACAGTGGTTCATGCCTGTAATCCCAGCATTTTGGGAGGCCAAGGTGAGAGGACTGTTTGAGCCCAGGAGTTCAAGACCAGCCTGGGCAACATAGCAAGACCCTTTCTCTACAATAAATATGTAAATAATTTTATGTTCTAATATAGGGTCTAATATGCAGCTGAAATATGGATTCTCTTAGACATACATGTCTACAGACGAAATTGCCAAATAAACTTAATTTTGATGAGGTTTCAAAAACTTGAGGTATTTAGGAAAACAATATAGCTTTGATTACAGAAATTATTAAATCTCCATAGAAATTAGAATATAAGCTGCTGGGAATATGGTAGAAAATCACTCCTCAGGACAGAGGATGCTTGTACCTTGTAAGCAATATAACAAAACAGCCACATATAAACTCCACACCCATGTGGACAATGACAGCAAACACTGTTCCTTAACACACCACTCAGACCCACCCGCAACACCAGGTAAACCCACCGGTCTCCCCACAGAGTGCTTCAGAAGATAGATGGCAAAATGGATGTGGAGATAGAATTCCAGCTTCTGGGCAAAGGAGTCCCCATCTCGGACGGAACTGGGAATGTGCTCCTCCCACAGACTGAAGAACACCTTCTGGTCTCCGTCGTCAAATGCAGCAACAAGATCCTTCTGTGGAGAAGACATCAGACTACACCTCGTTGTAAATTTCAACACCCAAAATTCTCACAACTCACAACACCACAGATTTCCCACATACTCCTTTTCAGAGGTAAAGGATAGAAAAACAGAGATCCCACAGGATTCAAGCTCCTGAGCCTGCGATTCCTGCAGACCAATCCTAGTTTCCCACACCTTTGCAATATCTAATCTGGGCACTATGAAGAACACACAAAACATTTAAGGTCTTTGAAACAGAAAGAATCAGGCATAGAAAAAAGACTTGGGGCCAGAGAACTCACGGACACCTAAATATACTGAAGTCACCCTTTGGACCTGCTGACCCACAGCATGCAACGGACAAAAGCTATCCAGACCGAGTCTAGCCGGGCCTCCCAGGAACAAACCGCACATGCACGGAAGGTTGCTGACAGCATTGCTCCCCGTCCTGGAGTGGCCGGGAGCCCACACACACTGACCCAGTCAATCCTGGGCCTAGGCAATAGCACTGCCACTTGCCCCACTGCTAGAAGCACACCAGGCTGAGATGGAGCTGAAGGAAGCCACTATAGACCCCAATATACCATAAGGTGACTGTCCATGCCTGCCAGCTGCAGCTGCAGCGACAGAGAAGGCTGGAGGTGGAGGAAGGAGCACCAGCTCAGTGCCGTTTGACCTGGGACAACGACAGCGTGATGATTTAGCATGCACTAGTTGAAAGAATTCTGGAGAAAGGAAGTGGCAATTATCATGTCACCTGTCTCACAAGGAAGATAATTCACCTGTCACAAATACCTGTGGCATAATTTTGTGGATTTAAGTAAAAGACAGAAGTGAAAGAACTTCCTAAGAGTCTAAAACAATGCAGCTGCTACTGTTCTTTTCGTATCGAATGCCCAAGATGTTTGGACTTACATTTTATGCTCAACTGCAACAGTGTTTCTGAGATTGGATTTTCTATAGAATCTCCACTTCCCCACCCAATACCATTGTTACTTACCACCATTATTGGCCTTTGTTCTTTTATACTTCTAAAAACGAGTTCATGGGTGCAGTGGCTCACACCTGTAATCCCAGCACTTTGGGAGACCAAGGCGCGTGGATCATGAGGTCGGGAGTTCAGCCTAACCAACATGGTGAAACCCCGTCTCTACTAAAAATACAAAAACTAGCCAGGCGTGGTGGTACATGCCTGTAATCCCAGCTACTCCGGAGGCTGAGGCAGGAGAATTGCTTGAACCCGGGAGGCAGAGGTTGGAGTGAGCCGAGATTGTGCCACTGCACTCCAACCTGGGCAATAGAGCGAGACTCCATCTCAAAAAAAAAAAAAAAAAAAGTGAGTTTACATGGCCGAGCATGGTAGCTCACGCTTGTAATCCCAGCACTTTGGAAGGTCAAGGCAGGCAGATCATTTGAGCCCAGGAGTTCAAGACGAGCCTGGACAACATGGTGAAACCCTGTCTCTACTAAAAATACAAAAATTAGCTGGGCGTGGTGACATGTGCCTATAGTCCCAGCTACCTGGGAGGCTGAGGTGGAAGGACCATCTGAGCCCTGGAGGTAGAGGCTGCAGTGAGCTGAGATTGCACCACTGTATTTCAGCCTAAGCGACAGAAAGAGACCCTGTCTCAGAAAAAAAAAAAAGAAAGAAAGAAAAACGTTTACAGATAATTTTCCTGCAAAATTGTCATTTTTAAAAATTACTTGTTTTATCTGTTTATAAGCAAATTTTCTAACATAAAATGGAAACGTATAGAGAACAAATAATGTAACAGTGTTTGGTTACACATATGTCAAAGATGTTGATTGGTAAGGAATCCTCAAATCTGAATATTACAAAAATGTTCACTATGTCATGTGATCAAAAACTGTCTCTGAATACTGCCTGATGCTGGAAGGTGCCGGTTACATTTCAAGTAAACTCAGAATTTTTCTAATAAGCCCTACAATGAGCATCTACCTCCTCAAGGCTGGCTCTTCTGTTCCTCCTGGACACAGGCAAGGGACAGTCTGTTAGCAGCTGTGGGTGGGGGTTGCCAAAACAAAGCACAAGCAGCCGAATACAGCCACCTCTTGGAAGAATTTGGGGAAGCTGGCCAGAGACCCCATGCTTGTTAATGACTGCCACAAAGGTGAACAGATCCTCCTGGGGCAGTGCTGTGGGGCCAGGCTCAGCCCCACGCTTGCCTCTGCCAAGGTCCCAAGCAAGCCCTGTGACCATTCCTGAGGAGGCCTTGCCACGAGAAGTGCGGTGACCAAGAGCTCTCTGACTGTGTGATTGAGGTGAGCGCAGACTCTTGTGAAATGTTATGGCTTAGAGAAAAGATATTTTCTTAACATGGCTTGGCAGAGTCCACAAGTCAAAAGGCCCATCTACAGTTTGTTCTAAGGTCTCTTTTTGTAGATCTGAAACCACAAACCTTTGCTGTCATCATAACCACCTCTATCATCCTTCCTAACTCATGACTCATATTCTGTACCTGGAAATGGTCCCTGAGCTTAAAATAATACCCACACATAAAAGAATCCACTATTATAACTTACAGTGACAAAATATTAGTGATGTTCTATAAACTATGATCAAAGCAGAATCAACAAGATGAGAAAATGTGTACACCATCAATAGTAACTTGTAAACACACATGCTTCTTACATCTCACAACAATGTAAACATACTTAACACTACTGAACTATACACATAAAACTGCTGGGGGAAACTCACTATTTTTTGAGTTCCACTAAAAATTAGCATATTTTGCTGAACCTCAGTTCTAGATGTATTTTTTTCTTCTTCTTTTTAAATTTTTTTCCCCACTCTTCTTCACTCAAACCAGACATTTCATTTGGGAAATCTACCATAGTGGGGGACACAGCTGTTGATTGGATGAGCAGAAAAGAAATGTTTGTGACAATCAGAAAGGTTCAAGGTCTTTCAAGTTATATAAAAATGAACCTGAAGACATCAGAGAAATACAAATCAAAACTATGACAAGATATCACTTCAAACCCATCAAAATGGCTAATATTTTAAAAACACACGGAGAGAAAATAACAAGCATTGGCAAGGAAGTAGAGAAACTGGAACGCTTAAGTACTGCTGGTGGGAATGGAAAATGGTACAACCACTTTGTAAAACAGCTTGGCAATTCCTCAAAAAGTTAAAAATAGAGCTACCATATGATCCAGCAATACTTCCTGGTATACATCCAAAAGAACAGAAAGCAAGGCCTTAAAGAGATACTTGCACACCCACATTCACTGCAGCACGATTTTTTTTTTTTTTTGAGAAGAAGTCTCGCTCTTGTCCCCCAGGTTGGAGTGCAATGGTGCAATCCTGGCTCACTGCAACCTCCGTCTCCCAGGTTCAAACTATTCTCTTGCCTCAGCCTCCCGAGTAGCTGGGACTACAGGCACTGGCCACCACGCCCGGCTAATTTTGTATTCTTTTTTTTTTTTTTTTGGGTAGAGATGGGGTTTCACCATGTTGGCCAGGCTGGTCTTGAACTCCTGACCTCAGGTGATCTGCCCACCTCGGCCTCCTAAAGTGCTGGGATTACAGGCGTGAGCCACTGCACCCGGCTCTAACAGCATTATTCTTAATACCCAAGAGGTGGAAGCAACCCGAGTGTCCATCAATAGAAGAACAGATAAACAAGCTGTGGCGGGGGTGTGTGAATATGTACCAGAGAATATTATTCAGCCTTTAAAAGGAAAGGAAATCTTGTCATATACCGCAACATGAATGAACTTTGATGACATTATGCTGGGTGAAATAAGCCAATTACAGAAAGACGAATACTGTATAATTCCATTTATAGGACATATCTAAAGTAGCCAATTCATAGACAGAAAGTTAAGAATAGTGGCTGCCAAGGCCTAGGGGGAGGATAAAGGGAGAGTTGTTCAATGGGGACAGAGTTTCATGTTTGTAAGATGAAAAATTCTAGAGATCCGTTTCACAACAACGTGAACACATTTAACACTACTGAACTGTACATGTAAGAACAGTTAAGATGAGACATTCTATGTTATCTTTAATCACAATTTTTTAAAAAGACCTGAAGAGACATTTGAGTGTTCTCAGATGCAGCTGGAGCTGAAATGCGACGGGAACCCAGTTGGAAAAGTGTACAGCAGCCGCCTCTGGAGGGACCCGATAAGCAAAGAAGCTTCACGACACAGGGCCTGTCGGCCTTACCCTGTATCGTCACATAATCTGGTCACGTGTGAACTCCACAAAAGACTCTCCCTGTTCTGCTAGTTAGGTATTGAGGATTTGCTACATTCCTCTCAAATGGTAGCTTTAATTAACAGATGCTCACATACACTTCCCACGTGTAGGGTAAAGGTCTTTTCTTCATCCAGAAAGAACCAGGGAAGCCAGGTGCTGGGGAGTGAAGCTGATTCCCTGAGGAACACACTTCACTCTAAGAACCTGTTTTCGCCTCTAATAATGACCGTATTCTTCTATGTTCTGAACATATCTCTCTGGGGGAGGGGGTGCCAGGGAGGTCTGGCTCCTGTAGCATCCACAGAAGAGTCTGTGTTGACAGAAAGCAGCAGCAGCTCAGCATCCAGGGGCCTGCGGCCTGAAGGGGAGCAGGCAGAGGGTTCAGCCCTGCCTTGAGCTCCACAGGCCACTTCGAAAGTGCCCCTCTCTCAACAGTGCCCATGCCAGGCCACTAGGGAGTCAAGTACTGGGAGAAAACCAGCGGTGGCTGCCACCTGAACTCCGGCTACTCAAGGGGCTTGCAAGCCAAGCCTCAAATTATTTCTGGAAGTAGGTAGGTTAAAATTTAAAAATCTGTTGAAGTAATAAGGCCAGGTGCAGTGGCTCATGCCTATAATCCCAGTGCTTTGGGAGGCTGAGGCAAGAGGATCACTTGAGATTGGGAGTTTGAGACCAGCCTGGGAAACACAGCAAGACTCTGTCTCCACATAACTTTTTTTTTTTTAATTATAAGAATAAAATAGACCAGGCATGATGGCTCACATCTGTAATCCCAGCACTTTGGATGGCTGAGGCAGGTGGCTCACCGGAGGTCAGGGGTTTGAGACCAGCCTGGCCAACATGGTAAAACCCTATCTCCACTAAAAATACTAAAACTAGCCGGGCATGATGGTGTGTGCCTGTAGTCCCAGCTACTTGGGAGGCTGAGGCAGGAGAATCGCTTGAACTCAGGAGGCGGAGGTTGTAGTAAGCCGAGATCCTGCCACTGCACTCCAGCCTGGGCAACAGAACGCAACTCCATCTCAAATAAATAAATAAATAATAAAATCATCCAAAGGTGAAACATGCTGTCTCAGGAAATGGTCAATGGAAATATTCTAGGTGAACTGATTACTTATCTGGCATATTACAAACGAGATCGAGACATCAAATAATGGTTAAAATAATGACTTTTTTTTTTTTTTTTGGAGACAGGGTCTTACTCTGTCACTACAGCTGGAGTGCAGCAGTACGATCATGGCTCAACGCAGCCTTGATTTCCTGGGCTCAAGTGATCCTCCTACCTCAGGCAACTAAGCAGCTACAACTACAGGTGCATGCCACCACGCTTGGCCAATTTTTTATTTTTTATAGAAACGCGGTTCCAGCTAGGCGTGGTGGCTCATATCTGTAATCCCAGCATTTTTGGGAGGCCAAGGCGGGAGGATCACTTGAGGTCAGGAGTTCGAGACCAGCCTGGCCAACGTAGTGAAACCCCATTTCTACTAAAAATACAAAAATGAGCCAGACACAGTGGCATCTGCCTGTAATCCCAGCTACTAGGGAGGGTGAGGCAGGAGTATTGCTTGAATTCCGGCGGCAGAGGTTGTGATGAGCCGAGATCGTACCACTGTACTCCAGCCTGGGCTACAGAGTGAGAGATTCCGTCTCAAATAAAAAGAAAAAGAAACGACGTACTACTGTGTTGCACAGGCTGGTCTTGAACTCCTGGGCTTATGCGATCCACCTGCCTCGGTCTCCCAAAGCGCTGGGATTACAGGAGTCAGCCCCCATGCCCAGTCAAGGATTTTTAAGTTCCCTTCTAACCCTGAGAGTTGAGGTCTGTATAATCTCCCCTGCAGCCCACTGGTATTCACAGAGTTGCTCAGACTTCCTTTCATAGACCCACCTCGTCAGTCTCACTCTTGCTCCCTGTTCCCTCCAACCTCCCCAAGCTAGAATGCAAATGCTGTACTGGCAGGGGCTGGATTTTGTTTGTTCGCTGTTGGATCCCCAGCGCCTAGAATTAATAACCTGAAACTCCTCAGGAGGAAGGCTACAATTGTCTCAGTTCCTAAACATTGCATGTTTCTTCTTTTCCTTCTTCCCAAGAAATGTTTGTGAAAGATCTTATATGGCTACACATTTCCTAGGGAGGGTACAGAGATTTAAAATGACATTATTAGTTCATCTATAAACACTTGTGCAATCTAAAGTAACTCTGAGCAAGCGCTCAGAAACTATTCCAGCACTACCCAATGGCAGCATTTTCCACAAGTTGGGAGCATCCTGAATTATCTACAGGGATGAAAAATAAGCAAAATGTTACCTGAATTGTCAATGATTTGGAGTCTCTGAAAGATCCACCTACTGTTTTACACAATGGTTTTCCTTTTATTTTGCATTCTTTTGAAAATGTTTTCAAGGTGTCTTCAAATTCAGCAAAATCTAAATACTATAAAAAATAAATAATTCAATTAAACAGCAAAACAAACAAATAATCTAATTTAAAAACAGCCAAAGGATCTGAATAGATATTTATCCAAAGACGACATTAAAAGGACCAGCAGATACCTGAAAAGGTGCTTAACATCACTAACAATCAGAGAAATGCAAATCAAAACCACACAGACATAATTCCCTCACACCTGTCAGAATGGCTATTACAAAAAAGATAAAAGATAAAAAGTGTTGGCAATGATGTGGAGAAAAGGAAACACTTGCGTACTATTGGTGAGATTGTAAATTGGTACAGCTATTATAGAAAACAGTATGGAGGTTCCTCAAAAAAATAAAAATAGAACTACCAGCCGGGAGCAGTGGCCCACGCCTATAATCCCAGCACTTTGGGAGGCTGAGGTGGGCAGATCACAAGGTCAGGAGTTCGAGATCAGCCTGACCAACATGGTGAAACCCCATCTCTACTAAAAATACAAAAATTAGCCAGGCACAGTGGCGGGCACCTGTAGTCCCAGCTACTCAGGAGGCTGAGGCAGGAGAACTACCTGAACCCGGAAGGCAGAGCTTGCAGTGAGCCGAGATCACACCACTGCACTCCAGCCTGGTGACAGAGTAAGACTCCATCTCAAAATACACAAAAAAACAAAAACAGAACTACCAGATGATCCAGCAATTCCATTTCTGGGTATAGACAGAAAGGAAATAAAATCAGTATTTCAAAGAGACATCTGCATCTGCATGCTCATTGCAGCATTATTCATAATAGCCAAGATATGGAAATGATCTAGGTGTCTAGCAATAGATGAATGGATAAAGAAAAAGTGGTGTCAGGTGCGGTGGCTCACGCCTGTAATCCCAGCACTTTGGGAGGCCGAGGTGGGCAGATCACAAGGTGAGAAGTTCGAGACCAGCCTGACCAATATGGTGAAACCCCGTCTCTAATAAAAACACAAAAATTAGCTGGACGTGGTGGCGGGAGCCTGTAATCCCAGCTGCTTGGGAGGCTGAGGCAGGAGAATCGCTTGAACCCGGGAGGCAGAGGTTGCAGTGGGCCAAGATCACGCCACTGTACTCCAGCCTGGGCAACAGAGCGAGACTCTGTCTCAAAAAAAAAAGAAAAGAAAAGAAAAGAAAAAGTGCTATAGGCCAGGTGGCATGGCTCATGCCTGTAATCCCAAAACTTTGGGAGGCCGAGGTAGGATTGCTTGAGCCCAGGACTTTGAGACCAGCCTGGGCAACAAAGCGAGACCCCATCTCAGATAAATAAATTTTTAAAAGAAAATGTGTTACACAGGTAGGGTGCAGTGGCTCATGTCTGCAATCCCAGAACTTTGGGAGGCTGAGGCAGGAGGATTGCTTGAAGCCAAGAGTTCAAGACCAGGTTGGACAACAGAATGAGATCCTATCTCTACAAAAATTAAAATAAAACCTAGCTGAGCATGGTCATGCACGCCTGTAGTCTCAGCTACCTGGGAGGCTGAGGCAGGCAGACTGCTTGAGCCCAGGAGTTCAAGGCTACAGTGAACCATGATTACACCACTGCGCTCCAGCCTAGGTAACAGAACAAGACCTTGTCTCTAAAAAAAATTTTTAATGTAAATTAAAAAAAATATATATATATATATATTCACCATCACACCACCAAATTCCAAATCTGCATTTGCATGGTGGGTGCCTCACTCTTGCTCCAGACCCATGGCTCTCACAACCTGCAGATGGTTACTCACACAGTTAAGCAGCAGCAAGCACCAACCCTTTCTTTAGCACCAGAAAGTTTAAGGCCTGGGCCCTACTTGTCAAAGCTTTTAGTGTAGGAAACCTAGGCCATTACCAGACAATGAGTTAAAAAAATTATGATGCATCTACTCAATGAAACACTCTATGGCATTCAAATGTCTAGGGCGGATCATAGGCAGATGTTCATGCTATATTATTGTTGGCAGATAAAAAGCAAGCTACAGAACAATGTATCATCCCATTCTGTAAAACAAACTACAGGCATATGAACATATTTTTACTATTCATAGAAAAAAGTCTGGGAGGGAAATTTCCTTTTTATACTTCTGTAGTGCTTGAATCTTTTACCATGGACATGTATTTATTTATTTATTTATTTATTTTTTTTTTTTTTTGAGACGGAGTCTCGCTCTGTCGCCCAGGCTGGAGTGCAGTGGCCGGATCTCAGCTCACTGCAAGCTCCGCCTCCCGGGTTCACGCCATCCTCCTGCCTCAGCCTCCCGAGCAGATGGGACTACAGGCGCCCGCCACCTCGCCCGGCTAGTTTTTTGTATTTTTTAGTAGAGACGGGGTTTCACGGTGTTAGCCAGGATGGTCTCGATCTCCTGACCTCGCGATCCGCCCGTCTCGGCCTCCCAAAGTGCTGGGATTACAGGCTTGAGCCACTGCGCCCAGCCGGACATGTATTGTTTTTATAATTTTCTTTCAAGGAACTTTTTAAGTGACTTTAAGATCTGTTTAGTTATAAAAACAAAATGTAAATGCATGGAATATTATATAATAGAAAAATAGCTCCAACATAACAATAGAAGAAACACTACAAGGCACTAAACAGTTGATTGCATTTTAAAACACAAGTTTTCAAGATGTTTCTCTGTGACCTGTGTTTTGTATAATATACCTACCTCTCTCACTAGTCCAAGTAATTCAGATTCATGAGCCAGAATGTCCCCCATATTGAACTGTTACTGGTAATTAATTCTCACAGCAAAAATCTCTAGAAGGCAAAAATATAAGAGCTTTCATTTCAACCACCTGTGAAACCACAAAAAGGTGGTTGTGGTGAGCAGAATAATGGCCCCAAAGACATCCATGCCCCAATCCCCAGAACCTGTGAATACGTGAGGTTACACGGCAAGGCGGAATTAAGGCGCAGATGGAATTAAGGTTGCTCATCAGCTGACCTTTAAATTGGGGGATGATCCTGGATTACCCAGGTGGGCCCAAGGCAGTCACAGCAGAGGGAGGGGGGCAGACGGAGGCAAGAGCGTCAGTGTCAGGATGATGAGGTGTGAGAAAGACAACAGCCACTGCAGGCTTTAAAGGGGTGAAAGGGGCATAAACCAAGAAGGGTAGGTAGCCTCCAGAAGCTGCATAAGGCAAGGAACAGATCCTCCCAGAGCATCCAGAAATGATCAATCCCCGCAAACACCTTGGCTTCAGCTCAGTGAGAGTCATTTCAGACTTCTGACCTCCAGAACTAGAAGATAATAAATCTTTGTTGCTTTACACCACTCAGTTTATGGTCATTTGTTCAGCAGCACTAGGAAATACAATGGCTAAAGTCAAAAGAAACTCTTCCTACTCTTTCTACCAGCCCTCCCTCGAGGTGTACCCAAAGCAGTCATTCCCCATGGCCCACATCCCAGGCTCAGCCCAAACCAGTTGCCTGTAACCCCAGAGGAATTAAAAAGTCTGGACTCTAATGCTAACCATGCCATTCACTGGCACCCGATCTGGGGCAAATCACTGAAATGCAGAGCCTTTTTTCATCTATAAAATTCAGAATGTATCAGAACTCTTCCAATTTTTTTTTTTTTTTTTTGAGATAGGATCTCACTCTGTTGCCCAGGCTGGAGTGCAATGGTGCGATCATAGCTCACTGCAAGCTAAAACTCCCGGGCTGACGTGATCCTCCCTCCTCAGCCTCCCCAGTGGCTAGGACTATAGGTGCAAGCCACCATACCCAGGTAATTTTTTTTTTTTTTTTTTTTTTTTTTTAGGAGAGACAGGGACTTACTAAGCTGCCAAACTCCTGGGTAATGCAATCCTCCAGCCTTGGCCTCCCGAAGTGCTGGGATTATAGGCATGAGCCACCACACCCAGTCAGATCTCTTCTGAGTCTGTAACCTTACATTTTTCTGGCAGTGCCTCCCCATCTCCTCTCTCTCCACTCCAATCCAATTTCTACACTTTTAACAATGAGCATTCTCCTCCTGCTTGGGACCCTCCTGTGGTTCCACCACCCTCCAGATGAAGGCGAGACTCCTTGGGCCCAACTCCCAAAGCCCTAGACAACGTGGCCTCTAACACACTCCCATTTGTTCTGTAAACCTGAGCCACAATGGCCACTGTGTGCTTCCTGTGGACACCCACTGAACACCCAAAGCCCACGCCTGCCCCCGTGAACTCTGGCTCACTGCCCTTCCTTCAGATACTCACGTCTCATTCAGGTCTCTGCTTAACTGTCACCTCCTCAGTCTTGCCCTGACCACCCTTTCTAAGAGGTCAGCCCATCACTTCTCAGCCCTTTCTGCTGCTTGATTCTTCTCAACAGTACCTGGCATCCCCAGTGCCTAGACCAGTGCCTGGCACACAGTACGGACTCAAAAACACGGACAAAATGGAAATTAATTCCAGACATGAAGAAAACAGTGCAAGGAAAGGGACAGAACCTGAAGGAGATGGGTACAGGGTTATTTTAGATGGAGTGGTTGACGGCCTCACTGGGAATGTGACATTTCAGCAAAGATTGAGCGTTGGATCTGGGGAAGAGGGCTTTGCTAGGTCACAGGCCTCAGGCCGCAGACCTCTGCAGTCTTGGGGTATTGGGATGTCGCTAGAGGTGAGGCAGAGAGCAGCAGGCAATGGGGGGCCGGAGCCAGGTCAGGTGGGCCTTGCAGAGCTGGTAAGTGGCTTGGACATTAGGCTGAGAGTAACAGGAGGCTCAGAGAGAATATGGAGGAGGGGACTGACACCACCTGTTTTTTTGTTTGTTTGTTTGTTTTCTTTTTTTCCTGAGACAGAGTTTCCCTCTGTTGCCCAGGCTAGAGTGCAGTGACATGATCATAGCTCACTGCAGACTCAAACTCCTGGGCTCTTCCCACGTCAGCCTCCTGGGTATCTGCGCCTACAGAGTGTGCTGCTATGCCCCAGTAATTTGTTTTCTGGTTTTTTTGTTTGTTTGGTTTTTGGTGAGGTTTTTTTGTTTTTGTTTTTGAGACAGAGTCTCACTGTTGTCGCCTGGGCTGGAGTGCAATGGCACAATCTCAGCTCACTGCAACCTCCGCCTTCCGGGTTCCAGCAATTCTCCTGCCTCAGCCTCCCGAGTAGCTGATATTACAGGCGCCCACCACCATGCCTGGTTAATTTTTGTATTTTTAGTAGAGATGGGGTTTCACCATGTTGGCCAGGCTAGTCTCGAACTCCTGACCTCATGTGATCTACCTGCCTCAGCCTCCCAAAGTGCTGGGATTACAGGCGTGAGCCACCGTGCCCAGCCTTGGTTTTTTCAGAGACAGGGTTTCACCATTGCCCAGGCTGGTCTTGAACTCCTGGGCTCAATCCTCCCTTCTCTGCCTCCCAAAGTGCTGGGATTACAGGGGTGAGCCACCACACCCGGCTGCTGATGTCCGTTTTTTAATATGCACGTTGCCTGTTCTGCAGAGAAGACTGGAGGAGAGTGGGAAGAGGGAGATGAGTACCGCTCAGCCCATGCCAGCCATGAGCGTCATTCGGATAAGCAAAAGGGGCCATGAGTGTTGTGAGTCCAGATGGAAAAGGCAGAAGAGGCACAGTCTGCAGACGGGCTGGTTGTGGGACATGAGGGGAAGAAGGGAAGGAAGAACCCTGGGATCTGAGCAGCTGGCCGAATAGTATGTCATTTCATAAGTCAACGAAAACATAGGGAAGGACTGTTTTGAGGTCAAACCAAGAGCTCTGTTTTGGCTGTAAGTCTGAGCTGCCGGTTAGACATTCCAGTGGAGGTTCCGAAATGGTCAGTGGGTATTATAAGAACTAAAGAAAGAGGAGAGAGGAGAGAAACACGAAGGGTCACTCAACAGTCAACAGGTTTATTTCAAACCTGGGAGGGACTTCCAGCCGAGTTAGGTCAGAGCCACACTCTCTTGCAGACTAAGAGTTTTTAAGGATTCAGGGTGGGAGAGTTTGTCAGAGGCTTGGACTGCTTCTGTCTCTTTGTTGTGCTTATCTGGGAGGGAGAGTTGTATGTCTGTTCCCATACATCTTTCTGCAGCTGGAGGCGTACCCCGCCAAGTCTGCTTTTAGCTTCCCTTAGCAGACCTGAAGGGAACAGAATGTCCTTATTAGGGCCCACTGTTATACTGAGGCCCACTGTAAGAGGGTGAAGTTTGGCAGGTACCCAAGAAACAAACCTGTTGACTGTCGAGTCACCCTTCGTGTTTCTCTCCTCTTTCTTTAATTCTTACAGATACATGAGCCTGGAGTTTAAGCGAGAAGCAGGAACGGCATTCAGAGGGATAGCAGAGAATATGGGTGCTGAGCAAAGACACAGATTTAGTGAGTAGAAATGAAATAGGCTGGGTGCAGTGGCTCACACCTGTAATCCTAGCACTTTGGGATACCAAGACAGGCAGATCACCTGCGCTCATGAGCTCGAGACCAGCCTGGGCAATGTGGCGAAACCTCATCTCTACAGAAATACAAACATTAGCCAGGCACGGTGGTGCATGCCTGTAATCCCAGCTACTGGGGTGGCTGAGGCAGGAGGATCACTTGAACCAGGGAGGTCGAGGCTGCAGTGAGCTGGGATCGTGCCACGGCACTCCAGCCTAGGTGACAAAGTAAGACCCAGTCTCAAAAAAAAAAAAAAGGAAGTGAAACAAGAAATAAGGTGTGGTGGCTCACACCTGTAATCCCAGCACTTTGGGAGGCCAAGGCAGGCGGATCGCCTGAGGTTGGGAGTTTTGAGACCAGCCTGGCCAGCATGGTAAAACCCCATCTCTACTAAAAATACAAAAATTAGCCGGGCGTGGTGGCAGGCACTTGTAATCCCAGCTACTCTGGAAGCTGAGGCAGGAGAATCACTTGAATCCAGGAAGCGGAGGTTGCAGTGAGCCGAGATCACGCCATTGCACTGCAGCCTGGGCAACAGAGCGAGACTCCATCCCAAAAAAAAAGGAAAGAAAGAAACAAGGTCATCAGCTGCAAGTAAGAAGCAAGGTGACAGTTTGGAAAGAAGTGAGGGTGGGAACCAAAGTAACTACAGCAACATGGCAGGGTTGCTGGTAGTAGAGTCCATTTAAGACCTCTAGACTGGAATCTAAAATAGAAGCAGTCTGCACAGTTTTGCAGCTCTTCTCCAGGCACTTGCAGCTGAGTTTGGTTAACCAATGCGAGAGGTTCTTCTAGAAGAGAGAGGAAAGGGGAAACAGTACAACCATGATGGGACACTGGAACTAATCAGGTTACGAATGGGGGAGGGGAACACACATAAGGCGGCTGCAGGGCAGAGGAAGCGGTGGGGTCCGAGGCCTGCGGAAGGAGCCACATTCCAGTGAGCAGGAAAGATGGAAAGCAGTGGGCAGACAGTGGGACAGATGCCTGAAGGCAAGACTTTGAAGGTGACTAGTACTAAAAAGCTCTCAACCAAGGGAGTGGGTGGATGAGGAGGATGGAGGAAAGAGATGCCTGCAAGTAAGGAGGATGAAGAACTGGAGGGGCCAGGATGTGGAAACCCCCAAAAGTGAAGTAAAAGAGATGAAGGGACAGGCAGCCAGCCGGGTGCTAGAGGCTCCGAGGGAACTGGAGAGACTTGCCCTGGGAAGTGGCTGCCTCGGGGAGGGCTGGCAAAGGGTACAGTGTCTGCCATGTGCTTCGAAGGAGCTGGGGTTTGTGAAGGAGTGGGCAGTGATCTGGAAGCAGCAATGAGGAGCAGGCAGGACACCTCCCCACGCACCAAACCAGCCCTGCCAGATGCAAAAGGTGACAGAAGAAGGCAGTTGCTGTTGGAGGACACCCACCTCTCCAGCCTTTCTCTGGACCTATGCCTCAAATCCATCCACCTTCCCCCTACCTTCTCCTGCTCCTTGCTCCCTTCCACCAATCCCACATTGGACCCTGCCAACAGCAAACTCCTGGCCATTTCCCCACGCAACAAGCTCTTCCAGGATCCTAAGCCTGTGGTTGATGTATGTTCTGAACCTCAGGTAAACATGACTCATGATTCCAAGCAAAGTCAGACTTAACCCCCTTCAAGAAGTCTTCCATGAATGACCCCTCCCTTCTTTCCCTACCAAGAATTTTTTTATATTTTTATTTTATTTTATTTTATTTTTTTGAGACGGAGTTTAGCTCTGTTGCCCAGGCTGGAGTGCAGTGGCAGGATCTCAGCTCACCGCAACCTCCACCTCCCAGGTTCAAGTGATTCTCCCACCTCAGCCTCCCAAGTAGCTGGGGTTACAGGCATGCGCCATGACGCCCAGCTAATTTTTTGTTGTTGTTGTTGAGACGGAGTTTTACTTTTGTCGCCCAGGCTGGAGTACAAAGGCGCAATCTCGGCTCACTGCAACCTCTGCCTTCCAGGTTCAAGTGAGTCTCTTGCCTCAGCCTCCTGAGTATATGGGATTACAGGCGCCCGCCACCAACGCCCAGCTAATTTTTGTATTTTTAGTAGAGACAGGGGTTCACCACATTGGCCAGGCTGGTCTCGAACTCCTGACCTCAGGTGATCCACGCGCCTCAGCCTCCCAAAGTGCTGGGATTACAGGTGTGAGTCAGCACACCTGGCCTAATTTTTTTATTATTTTAGTAGTGATGGGGTTTCACCATGTTGGCCAGGCTGGTCTTGAACTCCTGACCTCAGGTGATTCGCCCACCCAAAGTGTTGGGATTATGGGCATGCGCCACTGTGCCTGGCACTTCTTATAACCTGTTCACAAAGACAGGGAGCTGTATTTAAATTTCGTATCCCCAGAACCTAACAGAGTGCCTCGTAAACAAGAAAGGTACTCAAGGCATATGATGAATAAATAAAGCCTGAGCTGAGGGGATGGCATTTTAAAGGCCCTGGAACAGGAAAAGTGAGTTTGTGAGAATTTGAGCTCCTTCCAACCTCAAGGCCTTTGCACATATTACTCTCTCCGCCTAGAACACTTTTCCCTCTCTTCACCTGGTTAACCACTGTGCCTAATAAACATCACCTCCTTAGAGTAGTCCTCCGTAAGCCATTTAAATAGCATCTGCTGTGATCAACTGTCATTGAACGTGAGTGCTGCTGGGTATCCTACTACTCTGACATTCTTAGAAATTACAGAATTGGCTGGGCGTAGTGGCTCACACCTGTAATCCCAACACTTTGGGAGGCCGAGGCAGGCGGATCACCTGAGGTCAGGAGTTCAAGACCAGCCTGATCAGCATGGTAAAACCCCATCTCTACTAAAAACACAAAAATTAGCCAGGCGTGGTGGCGTGTGCACCTGTAATCCCAGCTACTAGGGAGGCAGAGGCAAGAGAATCGCTTGAACCCAGGAGGTGGAGGTTGCAGTGAGCCGAGATTGCGCCACTCCACTCCAACCTGAGCGACAGAGAAAGACTCCATTTCAAAAAAAAAGAAAAAGAAATTACAGAATTTTCTCTAAACTTTCATATCATAATAGGTATCATTTATTGAGGGTATATTGTATGCCAGGCAATGTGCAAAATGCTTTACATTTAATCTTCATAGTAAACCTGAGAGGTGAATGTAGTTTGTATTTTCCCATTCCAGAGGAGCCAATTTGAGGCTCAGGAAGTCTGACACACTCCCAACAGCCACAGTAAGTGACTAAGTGGCTGATAGGAACCACTACACAGTATTTCCCCAAAGTCTGGACCACCTAAATAAGAATCAGTTGGCACCCTTGTGCAAATGAAAATCCCTGCCTCCACCCTGGTCTTACTGAACACCATGGCAGGCACCATGCCCAGAAATCTGCCTTTTAAACAAGCTCCCTGGGTGACTTTTATACACTCTCAAGTTTGAGAACCACTGCTCTCCTCCATGCAGAAACTAAGAAAAACTTTTCCAGTCACACTTGGGGACTGCAGTGGCAGCTTTTGAATTCCTACATAATAAAGATTTAGGGCCTACAAACGGGTGGGATTACGGGATTTGTATGGAAGCCGAATCTGCATAGCACGCATCCTGTTTTTCCTTAGATTAGGTGAAATATGGACTTCACCTGGGTGCCTGAGAAACGGGGCTAGCAGATGGAGATTATGAGGGAGATCTAAACCCCGGGTAACCCGCTCGCACCGCCACCACCAGCTGGACGGGTTGGGGGTCCCCCTCCAAGTTTGGCCCGCTGCAGCAAAGATCAGGGACTACTGCTGCAGCAAAGATCAGAGAGTACTTGCGGGAAGCAGCTGCGCCCGTCCTTGCTTGGGATGTCCAGGAGGCCGCCTCGGCCCTCACCGGAGAAAGATCCCTGGACCGCAGGCGAGAAGTGGTAGCATCCGGCGGCGGCGGAGCGGGCGCGTCACGGTTTTTCTCAGAACAAGAGGTCCGCAGAGCCTCGGCCCTCCAACCCCACCGCTGCTCCTCCCAGCACCAGGACGGCGGGCTGAGGGTGACCCGGCTGCATCCGGGGACG